GGGAGTCAGGACCAGCTCGCTGTTGAGTTGCAGATCGAGTATCTCGTGTCACAGATACAGCATGGCCCTTCGGTGACGTCCCTCCCATTGCCCTCGTTCTCGACATCACCATCACAAATCCTCACCACGTGGTTCCACGTCCCTGCATGCCCTCGATCTCGCCCCCCTCGTGATGGACAGAATATCTCCCTCCCATACTTCAGGAGCTGAAGATGTGAGACCACGGACAGGCACATCCACCCCCCTCTCTGAAGTGAGGCAGAGGGGGGGAAAAAGAAGGTGTTCAAGATTCACGATCCAAAATCAAATCTGGAACGATTAGGAAGGGAAAAAAAAAAGGTATACCCACCTGAAGGGTCTGGATCAACGCCTCAAAATGCAGAAAGCATGACCGAGACTCTCATCCCGATTGACTCTCTCGCTCTCTCGCCCTCTCTCGCACCCAGGGGGGGGCGGGAAACTGGACGTGTACATTCTCCTCATCCGCCACCCGACGCCTTTCTTTTCTTTCGAGTCCCCTGGCCCACTGTTGTGACGTTGCCTTGGATCCGGGCCAGAAGCGAGCGGGCTTGCACGGATGGCCAAAATTGTGCTTGAGGCCATCGCCAATGTCACACAGATCCCTGGAGCCCGAGAGGCATGCCAACCTAACGACCCACCTCACCAGCAAGACCAACGCACACGCACACCGCGTGCTCGTGCGCACCTGGTTCCAGGTCGTCCTCTGCCCGTGAATCCTATGTGCTCGCTCCCTTGCAGATGAACAACACAGCATGCCGCACACGCACACACACACACACGCCCTGCTATTTCAGACAGACAGCCAGACAGCCAGCCAACATTTGTGCACACGGAGCCGCGACCCCCAAACCTGTACCTGCTTCTGCAGCTCGCCCGAAGAAGAGCGGCCCCTCCCCCTCCCCACCCGCCGACCCATATCGCTACACATGTCCGCGAGAGGAAAGGTCGCCGAGTCGTCCGGGCCCTCGAGGCCATGTCTCCCCGGGCGGGGGACGCGAGGACGAAGACGAGCGTGATCCACACGATGCCCAAACTACCTACCTACCTACCTACCTTAGCTACCAGGTACCTCCCTTTACCCAACATCCGCAGCATCGT